CAGCATGGAATTTATGCGTAAGATACAGCAGCAAACACACAGCAGTGACTCTGAGGCTCAGGTTTTACACCAGCACCTCCCCATGCAGGCAAACAGCTCCCAGGAACCAGAGCCATGCCCAGGTCTGAGCCACGCGGCGTTCCCTGAGATCCATATTCAACCAGTGGGATGCCTCTTGCCCCGTTCCTCTCACCCAGGGGACGTTCCCATCACAGCACCTCTCCCAGGACGTGTCTCACCTGGAAGTTCCCTGTCTTCTTGTCGTACTTCACGAGGTTGTTCTTGTCCAGCATGAGGGCTGCTGTGTGCACCAGGTCCAGGCGGCGCTGGTCCAGCAGCGGATCCCCCTTCAGGTCATCGTGGGAGATGCCATAGAGAGTGGGGGAGCGCAGCATCCGGATGTACAGGTAGGTGTATCCCAGCCAATTCACTGCATCCTGAGGGAATAACAACGTGCCCTAAGAGCTGATGTACCTCAGCACACGGAGACACCGCTCTGGCTTGGATCCCGGTGCTCCAAGCACTAGTGTAGGACACAGACGGCTGAGCCCAGCCAAATCCTGCTGGGTCAACATTAAAGCAGAGCTTGGAAGCCCAGCAGTGCTGTAACACACCTTGTGTCCAGCACCAGGGAAAGATTAAGGAATTCAAAACATCACAGAATCCCAGCCTGGTTTTAGTTGAAGGGACCTTAAAGCTCCTCCAGCTCCAACCCCTGCCACGGGCAGGGACACCTTCCACTAGAGCAGGTTGCTCCAAGCCCCTGTGTCCAACCTGGCCTTGAACACTGCCAGGGATGGGGCAGCCACAGCTTCTCTGGGCACCCTGTGCCAGCGCCTCAGCACCCTCACAGGGAAGAGCTGCTGCCTCAGAGCTCATCTCAGCCTCCCCTCTGGCAGGTTAAAGCCATTGCCCTTGTCCTGTCCCTCCATCCCTTGTCCAAAGCCCCTCTCTAGGTTTCCTGGAGCCCCTTTAGGCACTGGAGCTGCTCTAAGGGCTCCCCTCCGGAGCCTTCTCTTCTCCAGCTGCCCCAGCCCAGCTCTCTCAGCCTGGCTCCAGAGCAGAGCTGCTCCAGCCCTCGCAGCAGCTCCGGGGCCTCCTCTGGCCCCACTCCAACAGCTCCACATCCCTCATGCAGACTTTTCCCCAGTGTCCTCCATGTGGAGAACTCCATCTGCTTGGAATTACAGAAGAAACTACCCTCCCCAGGCTGGCAGTTCTCCCTGTTGTCCTTTCGGATCTCTTCAAGATTTGCTCCCCAGGCACCAAAGGCTGCAGGTTTCTTTGCTCCCACACAATGACAGCACCTTTCCCTAAGACTGCTCCTCCTCCTTCCCCTGCAATTCCCATGTGCACCACCAGGAGCACACATCCCTGGGGAAAGCCAAGATTCCCACTCACCTTCGCGTTCTGGACGTTGCCGAGCACAGTCTCTGCATTCAGCATGTCTGGGAGCTTTGACACCATCTGACTCTCAATGGGGAGCTGCTGGTTGAGCAGGGACAGGTAATACTGGAGCTCACCGTGGGATGTGATGAGGATCCCCTCTCCTTTGGTATCGTACTGAGGCCTCCCAGCACGGCCCAGCATCTGAAACGAGAAGGGGAAGTCAGCAAAACAACAAAGCTTTTACCTTGTGGTTTCTCCTCACTGCTGTGTCCTGGGGCTTTACTGCCAGTCTGCTCAGTCTGCTGCTAATTCCAGCTGGCAGGAGATGTATAGAATCCCAGCCTGGTTTGGGTTGAAGGGACCTTAAAGCTCATCCAGCTCCAACCCCTTCCACTGGAGCAGGTTGCTCCAAGCCCCTGTGTCCAACCTGGCCTTGAACACTGCCAGGGATGGGGCAGCCACAGCTTCTCTGGGCACCCTGTGCCAGCGCCTCAGCACCCCCACAGGGAATAACTTCTGCCTTATCTCCAACCTAAATCTGCCCTGTTTCAGTTCTAACCCATCACCCCTTGTCTTATCCCTATAGTCCTGGATGAAGAGCCCCTCCCCAGCATCCTTGTAGCCCCCTTCAGACACTGGAAGCTGCTCTGAGGTCTCCAAGCAGCTTCTCTTCTCCACACCCCAGTTTTCTCAGAGATACAGAATTATCCCACAAGTGTCTGAGCAAGATACTGGAAGAGGAATCATTTGCCCCTTCTAGTGATCTGCTTCTCCTCTGCCCTCACAGGGCTGATCTCACAGCAGCAGAGACAGGCTGACAACAGGGAACAGGGAGTAACTACACCGAGAACACACAAAAGCAGAGCTTGGATGTGCCTCAGTGAGAAAAGCCAAACCCTGCCCCGGGTCCTGGCAGCCCCTCTGTGAGCAGAACTTCACCTGCAGGATGTCCAGAGCCCCCAGCTCGGTCCAGCGCCCCTTCTCGGGGCTGTAGACCTGTGTCCCCTTGATGATGACAGTGTGAGCAGGGAGGTTCACACCCCAGGCCAGCGTGGCTGTGGAGACCAGCACCTGCAGGAGCAAAACACCCATCAGAGAAATCTCTTCCTCGGGAAAAAAGGGACCTAAAATGCTGCTCCCGACATTAGAGACAGGCACAAAAGAGACAAAGGCTGTGGCTGTCCTAACAGCTCAGCAGAGGAAGGTCAGGTAAGCAGCAAGAGCTTTGCCTAGCTCACTGCATGACCCTCAGAAAATCCTTTGCCATCCATTGATAAGGCAGCCAGGACACTGCTTCCCAAAGCAGTTGTTTTCCCAACTGCAGAGGAGACAGCCTGCTCTGGGACAGGCCTCTGGCTTTAAACACTCAGCAAGGGCCAGGGGTGATGTTCTCTCCCTCTCCACTCCCGGCCACGTGCTGGTAGTTCCTATTCTGTATGTGCAATCAAACCTGCCTTCACCAGGCTCCAGCTCCAGAGGAGTGGGACGGGAGCTGGATCCTCTTGATTTTTTCCAAAGGACTATTGGAAAACATGGCTCAAAAGTGTTTTCCTTGGCAAATGCCAACCAAACGGGCAAGTCCTGCTCACCTGGATGTGCTTGTCAGCAAAGAGATCCTCCACCAGCGTCCGGTCCACCCGCGTCATCCCCGCATGGTGAATGGCAAAGCCGTAAGGAAGGAGATCCTTCAGCTCCAGGTTCTGCACCAGAAACACAACCAGGTTGGAGAAGCAACAAGAGGAAGTGTATAATCTAAAGGAAAAGCTGGGAAACAGCACCAAGGTGGCAGCATCTTTGTGTGTGAAGAGCCCTGGCGGGTGGTTACCTTGCACTGCTCAGCCTCGGTCCTCAGCACCTCGGTGGAGGCAGAGCCCTCCCTCAAGAAGAGGCCCAGGGTATCTTTCTCCAGACACATGTCCCTGATGGCCCGGGCGGTCTTCCCAGTCTCCTTCCTGGAGTGAACGAACACCAGGACCTGTTAAACAAGCAGATGGTTCCATTGCTGAGATGGGAAGCACTGGAGCTGCAGCTGGCAAAGATGCTCGAGCCAACCTGCTCCTGGGGTTCGGGGTGGGAAGGGATCTAGAAGTAGCCCAGATGTCCTGTGAACCATGCACAGAGCTCCTGGTGTTATGGGTTTATCACCACAAAAGGTCCCTCATCTTAAAAGGGACAGGGCATTCCTTAATCAGACACCTGGCACAGGGTGAAAACCCTTGTTCCTTCCTCTCTTGGCTACCATCAACCACCCAAACCCACTCTCTTCTCCACTGCAGCATTTCTGCAGTGACAGCAGCTTGGAAGAGTCTCACCAGCAGCAGACAGGACCCACGATTAAGTGTGTCAGGAACAATCCCAGACTGGTTTGGTTGGAAGGGACCTTTAAAGCTCCTCCAGTTCCAACCCCTGCCCCGGGCAGGGACACCTTCCACCAGAGCAGGTTCCCC